AATAACAATCCCTTCCATGCAAGCTGACCAGGAACATCAGTCGTCCTTACTGGTAACCTCTGCTCTCCAAGACCACATACTACGAAACGAGGCATACGGGTACTAAGTTATTGCCGAGCAATTGGATTCCAAGGCCATTGTTTAAAAAACAAAGAAAATCGCTCAAAGGCTGCTGGAGATCTGTTAGAACTCATACCAGACAACCAGCAGAGGTCGGTGAAACTAGCAAGTGAGAAAGGATCCTCCACTTGGATCACTGTCCTGCCACTTTCAGAGCATGGCTTTGCCCTGCACAAAGGAGCGTTTCATGATGCCCTGGCACTACGATACGGCTGGACACCAGACTCCCTTCGAAATGTGTCGGCGGTGCCTCTTTTTCTGTTGAACACGCTCTGTCTTGTGCCAAAGGTGGCTTCCCATCGATCAGGGCACAATGAGATACGGGACCTGACAGCTACCCTCCTCACAGAAGTGTTCAATGACGTGTGCATTGAGCCGGAGCTTCAGCCTGTGACGAATGAAGAATATCGCTGCAAATGGTGTCTGGGGTGGCAGAAAGAAACTACCTCGATGTTAGGGTATTCAATCCTCACGCTCTGTCGAACAGACACGCCAATCTGCAATCAGTCTACAGAAAGCACGAACAAATAAAAAAGCATGCATATGAACAACGGATAAGAGAGGTTGAACACGCTACGTTCTCGACTCTAGTGGTCTCTGCTACTGGAGACTTGGCCAGGGCGCTCCACAAACAATACCACTATTCAGTGTCGATAAAGGTCGAAATATATGTCAGGTTGTTTTCTCTGAAACTGCTGCGTTCGGGAGTTACGGCATGAAACACGAGCGAAAAAGGCAATTGCTGATGAGAACAGGCTTGCCTAGAGTGGGTCCGCTTGCTCGGTGTATCTTGAAGGCACAAGAAGTCACAGCGAAGGGCGTGTATCGACTCCTGCATGCTATATACTGCTGTAGCTAGCCCGTGTCACACTCACCGCGAAATATACTAGCGGGAGACCACGAGTAAACGCATACCAAAAGCCCAGTCCATCAATTAGTGGTACCACGCATGCGCAGTTTGCCGAGGGTTTGCTCTTCCCAGTATTATGACTATTAGTAGTCAACCAAGAAACACGCTACAGAGACACCCTGTAGTAAAGCAATGTGCGCCATATTACAACTACGATGAGCTGTAGCCCCACCCAGCAGATAATGACAATTACAAAGCAGGTCAAGCTAAATGCCAGATTTTTGCCAACTCTGGGACATTGAGTTCACCGCTACTTACTGCTGCGACGTGCCTCAAATGAACGATAAGGCTAATCTCGGACAAAACTACGTGATGACTGCTCAGGTGTCACTCGGAATAGGTTCTGACACTTGAAACTTGTTCAACACTCTCCGCTGCAGCTGAAGAAACTTTCCGGTTGCACAATTCAGACACGAGCTGTGAGCATCTTCGAGATTGAAAGGCACCTTGGGATTAGGAGAACCATAGGATCTTCGGCGCATTCATACTGCTCCCCTACTCAACAGGGCCTTTTAATCTCCAAGATTAGCCTGTGTGGAGGTTCTCTTTGCCACTTCTGAGGGCATAGTTAAGTGCACCATGGTGTCAAGAATGCGATGGGGATTTTTATCTCACAACTGGCTCTTTACCCAGAGCATATCGTAGGGCAAGGGGTTGCAGTTTGGGTGGGGGCAGGAAGGACTGGAACTAGACAAGTCTTGCAGTTGTAACTCAGGTGTGCTCCTCAGTTGGGTGAAGTGTGGACTCAAACAAATCGCTGTCTGCTACAAGCAAGCTAGTCCAGTAAGATGCAATGGCTTACCAGTATTTATTTACCGAAGGATAGACTGCATACCCTTCTACACTGATTTTAAACGGATACTTTCTCATGACTCTAAATCAGTTATGCGCTTGTCGTATTTAGATAGCCTTGGGGGACCTTTTTAATGACTTGAAATTCACTCTGGTCGTTAAGGTCTGTCAGCAGAAGCATTATTAACCTTCGGCGTGCATGCACAGCAAGGGCTACAGTAGTTGGTTTGTCTGTCTGTGTATCTGTGTGTCGACGCTCATTCTGGAACTACAGGCTACGAGGCGCCCTATTAGTGATACCAGCGGCTTCAGAACAACGCGAGCCAGAAAAATAAAAGGGCGATTTTCGTGAAACGACAGCATTCGAGAGATATGCCATGAACACAAATGAAAAAGCAAATATTCGCACTGGGCTTACCGTGACCTGATTCGCTCGCTCTGTGCACCTTGGAGGCTCAAGAAGTCACAACTAAGGGCATGTATCGATTCCCGCATGCTATCTAGTGTAGCTAGCCCGTGTCAGACTCTCCGCGAGCTACTAGCTTGAACACAACGAGTATACGCATACTCTTGGCCCAACCATCAATTAGCGGTACCACCCATGCACAGAAGTAGCAAATACTACCTCAACAACACTTTAAAAAATTATGGAGGTAGACAACGACAATGCCTTTGTCGTGAGTGCATGGATAAAATCAGATTCCTTTGATGCTTCGTGTCCCGTGGTATGGAACGCGGACACACACCAAGACCTATAAATGCCATTGCTCTCTTATTTTCTCCAAGGTTCTGATGTCTTGGTAGGTACAAGGTGACATATTTCTAGTTAAGGAAGCGATGGAGAAAGTCGCCATGGGAACTGCAATTGACTGGTCGTTTATGCAGTAGAAAGTGCGAAAATACATACACCGTTGAACGTAATACCATTGGATAGTAGGGCTGCGTGTAGTGTATGAGTGGATCCATTTAATTAATCCTGTTCAAATGGAGTTAACGTTTGTCAATTATTTATGTCATTCAATAAAACCACACCGGTACATTTCTCCCAGCCATTATATGTGACCGTGCACGCAAAAACCAACCTTACGCCGCAATGTTAAATTTTCGAGTAACCGGTATAAGCAAAACCACTTTTTTGCCTATAAGTAAAGCTTCCCGTCAGAGCTACCTACTGGTACCTTTCCTGCCTCCTAGGAGGCCTTCTCGCCAGAAAAGAAGCTATTTCTCTATAGCGGTAGTCAGTGAACGGAGCAGCGGACACGGACGCTCACGGCGGGGTTGTACGGAAATCTTGTACCCACCCTTTTCCCCCGCGAAACTAGGCAACAAAGATGCAGCGACTACCAGTCACTTTCCTTTACTCCGCACACGGGCACAAAGGTTCCTGAACAACTTGGAGTGGTTGCTGAGTAGATCATCTAAGCTGCCGCCTTTAAAAATACGACAGCCTAGTGTGCACGGCTCAAGACAGACGGGAGCCGGCAGCTGGCTAAGCTGGCCTGTTAACTGGAATCTAGAACCAGCATCCATAGCACACACGGGCCGGAGTTTTCACGGTAAACACGATCGAACGACCTGTCTAACATGAGTGACAGCACGACGGTACATGCAGCTGACACAAAGAAAGTCAAAGCGATACCTCACTTACACCAAGATCTGCCACGACAGGTTCGGCCTGAAGTCTATTCAGCCCGGTAGGGCCGATAGAAGCGTTCGTCTGCTGTCAAACTGCTCGCTCACACCGCATCTCTCTGGTTGCTAAAAATTTCCCGGGAAAAATCCCGTAACGTGATGTCATATTCGTGCGTGGACAAGAATACGGAAAAATTTCATTCCGCTATTTCGCGTTTTGTATAACCCCGCGTGGCCCGCGTTTGAAAAATCTTAACTTTTGAAGGGTTTTCCCCAAAAATATACAAAAATAAGCGGTGTATCAAGCACATTTCAAGCTTTACAACGATACAAAAAACGCTACTTCACAAAAATGCGGCTAAACTACATACTTTGATTGTGTAAGACTTACCTAGGTGTAAGTTTTCCAGTGTGCTATTGCCACACAGTAATTCTTAGTTATTTATAGAAAGACCCTGAGATTACAATCTCAGAGCATCTAAAACACCAAAATTTCCCGGATACAGCTTCCCCCCTCCCTTTATTTCACAATTACTCATTTTGCCCCCCCTTGGATCGACTTGCCCTTACATGCCCTTCGTTGTGACTTCTTGTGCCTTCAGCGAGTGGACCCGATCGAGGTCAGCCGTGCCGCGCACTTATAATATATGCATGCACACAGCTATTAGATGGGTTTGGCCACGCAACTCGGTCCGCAGTTCACCGAGGGTTTGCACTTTAGTGCTTTTCATTAACCCTTGGCGTGCATGCGCAGCTAGGGTTACGGTACTTGGTCTGTGTGTGTCCCGTCTGTCTGTCTGTCAGCAGCTATTCTCGCACTACAGGGTTTGAGGGGGCCCATGAGCGATACCAACGGCTGCAGAAAGAGCGATTTTGCTGAAACGACTGCGTTCGAGAGCAAATGGTCACTCGCTCTCAAACGCAGTCGTTTCAGCAAAACCGCTCTTTTATTTTTCAGGCTCGCATAGTTCTGCAGCCGTTGGTATCACTCACGGGGCCCCCTCGAACCCTGTAGGCTATGTATTGCGTACGCCCGAAAGCGTCAAGGCGTTGAATTCCAAAGGACGCACAACACAGCTACATCCGGCCTCGGGTTTTCGATTTTACTTATTCTCCTCGGACCCACCGTCAAACCTAGATTTAGTTGTGACTTCTTGTGCCTTCAAGATACACAGAGCGAGCGGACCCGGTCGAGGTAAGCCTGTGCTAATTAGCATATTGGCCTGTTCACTTGGTTTTCACGCCATAACTTTAGAACGCAGTAGTTTTATGAAAATTGCCTTTTTTAAAATCAAGCCAGTGTAGCGCTGAAACCGTTAGTATCGCTCTTTGGCCTGTATTTTGCGCGTGGTTGCAGAAAACGTGGTAACAGACAGACGGACACACTTACGAACCAAGTACTGTAACCCTCGCTGCGCATGCACGCCGAGGGTTAATGAACCCCTGATGATGTACACACAGCTCATGCTGTGGTGGGTTTCAATATAGCCAGAGGCATACAATTGACTGGCTGTGTTGTGTTCTCTATTGTAGCCATACCTGCTGGGGGCTCTACATACTCCATCAGTGAGTCTGCTAGAGCTGTGTCTCCAATCATGTCCAGCCAGAATATCATCTTTCTCATTTTCATTGGATCTGTACTCTGTACATAGTACTCTACTGCACTGTCAACATCCCACTTATCACCAGGGATGGAGAGATGGAGGCAGAGGCGACTGAGGTTACTGGTGTTCTCAAAGACCTTCCTGAGTGCGGCTTTACTTGGAGGGAGTGCTGCGAGGAAAGATAATGACATCATCACTAACACACACAACTTCATTGAACATTTACAAGATCTTTTTCGATATGGCTAGTGATGATGTCATACAACACTAAAATTAGGTCATCTCTCCTTATCAGACAATACCATCATCATCATTCACTGGGCAGTCATAACCTAACAGTTATTTTATTTCCTCTGTGTGGGGTGCGCTGCTCGCGGCGACTGTCTTACGTTTCTTCCACGTCCAGACTTGGTCCCCTTCTCCTTTGAACTTCTTGTGTCCCTCTTGCTTGCCTTCTCCCTGCAGTTCCTGTCTCTTTCTCTTGGCTCCAGTTCTTATTACTGCCTCCCCATCACCAGTAGCCATCTGAGTCACGCTGTACTACTGTGTCGTCAGTGGTCGACCTCGTCGATCGAAAGCGGGCCTTGACTGTCGGAAAACAAAACTCAGACGTGCGAGAAATGCAGAGCAAACGGCGTGGCTGTTAGAATCACGTGATTTGTAAACAATACGTACGTGTGCGCGCACGCGCAATGAGACAATAGGATCGAAGTCACGAAGAGGAGAGGAGAGGAGAGTTTTGGTCAGTCTCAGTTGTGGGACTACTGGATTTGCCAGTACCTTGTTCACCAGCTGGGAGAGGAGATGAGAGAGAGAGCAAGAGAGGGGGAGAAAGGTACAGAGATAATGAACGGGGAGTATTAATTTTCAATTTATGCATTCTTGTCATTCTTGAGTAAATTGTGTTAATTGCACTTCTGTACATGTTTTTCGTTGAATTCTACTCTGTGTACTGCATTCCTGGTGATAATTTTGAGTGACCATTGTATATTCAATGAGCCATAATGCATGCATTGACGAGTTGAAAAAATTTGTTTATAGGGGGGATCTATAAATAGGCACCCGCGATATAAACATTTTTTTAACTAACTAGACACTCATGATTATCATTGCAAAATTTAAAATGTCTGCCACTATTATCACTCAAGAAAACATTTAGGTGACATGTATAATAATTATTATACCTTATGAAGAAGAAGATGATGACGAAAATCGTGAAATCGCGTATGAGCGAATTCCCGCCTGGAGAACTGAGGGCACGTAGGAAGTCTTGGGGCATACGTATAGCTAGATATGGGCCTGTAGATTATTGCTAGTGATTTAGGGAGTCATTTTCGCCAAGTTTTGAGGTGTTTTGTACGCGGATCACGTGAGATTTGACTCGTGCCATTCCTATTATAGAGCGTCTACTGACAGAAAGGCAAGGCAAACAAGTGAACTACACCCAGGACAGCTCTTTCTTTAGAAGAAGAGCTGCCCTGGGTGGGATTCGAACCCACGACAATCCAAGCCTGAAGACTTGCTGACAATGCAATACCATGCAGGTTTGGGAGCATTTCAAACCTTCATACTTACCAAAGGGCAAAAAAGTGAAGGATTGTAGCTCTGAGACACACAAATAGGGTACGTTGCTCCCAAGTGCCCTAGTCCTAACGTCACTCCAGGAGAGTACCCTAGTCCTAACGTCACTCCAGGAGAGTGCCCTAGTCCTAACGTCACTCCAGGAGAGTGTCCTAGTCCTAACGTCACTCCAGGAGAGTGCCCTAGTCCTAACGTCACTCCAGGAGAGTGTCCTAGTCCTAACGTCACTCCAGGAGAGTGTCCTAGTCCTAACGTCACTCCAGGAGAGTGTCCTAGTCCTAACGTCACTCCAGGAGAGTGCCCTAGTCCTAACGTCACTCCAGGAGAGTGTCTAGTCCTAACGTCACTCCAGGAGAGTGTCCTAGTCCTAACGTCACTCCAGGAGAGTGCCCTAGTCCTAACGTCACTCCAGGAGAGTGTCCTAGTCCTAACGTCACTCCAGGAGAGTGTCCTAGTCCTAACGTCACTCCAGGAGAGTGTCCTAGTCCTAACGTCACTCCAGGAGACTTCAAGATCAAGAGACTCAGCCGCTGTCTAGTCCACGGAAGCGCCGTCCGCCCTCTCTTGGAGGCATACCTAATATTCACCCCCCCAGAAAGACTGCTGGCCATGAACAATTAGTATAGCCAATTCTGCATGTGGAAACGTGTCCACAAACTGGATGTATATTGGCCGTACGGCCTCAAAAATCACATTCCTTTGGGTCGCTCTTAATTATTGCGTTCGCGTTAATTGGATCGCTTTTGGTCTTCCCCTCCATGGCCACAGGCACTAATCTGGCGTAGCCACACCCCTCACTATGACAGTGCGCATGCACGATTCAAGAACGAGATTCTTCCAGTTGCTACGCTCCCATACCCATTATTCCCATTCCGTGGATATTCGGATTTCTTGGCCAAGAAAAACAAGGAAACATTAGCAAACAACAAAGTTCTATACATACACAGATGGCCGACTATAATATAGCACAATGTAAATTGTTCCTACTGAAGTGCAAAAAATGAGGCAGTGATATACAAAATGAAATCTTGAAACTGTAATTATTATAAGATGACATGACAATATGTCTGACTGAATGGGAAAAAGCTTGTCGCTGAACAAGCCAAAAACTGATGATTGATGCAATGGTGCCATGGAAACAAAACGTCATGTGATGCCACATACATTTAACACTACACGTACATGATGATAGAGACCTCTCACAGACAATTGGTCACATGACCATCACATGACATCACTGAAATACTCGCACGGGTGTCAAGAGCTTCCTGAAAACTTTCTCGACTGGGCCCCCAGGTTTCCTGGAATTCTAGCCCCCACCACGGGCCCCCTCGCTTCGCAGACTGATCTATCGGGGGGCATAGCTGGGTGCCCCATGCGTAAATTTTGCTGCGAGACACTCGTGAAACCGCTAGACGTACTCAGCGAGTGTTCATACTCGCATAACGGGGTACGGATGCACCGCCGCCCCGTTACAGGGTTGTTGTTTGTGTTGCTGTTGTTGCGGGCGACTCGCACCGCTCGGGGCTGTGGCTAGGAATTGGTTCATGCGTGGCAGCAGTTTGTGGTGTGCGGGGGTGAGGTTGTGAGGGGAGAGCTGGTGCGGTCCGGATCCGGAACGCAGTCCTGCACAGCTACTGCGCGAGAGCCGCGTTGTGGGCGAGCGGCAGCTGCCTTGTTTTCTGCTGAGGGAGGGTAGAGAGGTAGGGAGGGAGGGTAGGGAGAAGGGGGAGGGGGTGGGAAGTTTAAACAAGGACATAAGATTGTGCCGGCCTATAATATACCTGGAGATGGTGAGTTTGACTTGCTAGAGGTTGAGGGAGGCTGGGTGGGGGGCGCCTTTCGTGAGAAGTCGTGGGCGGCCAGTGAAAATCCCCGTCGGAGGACCCCCACATATTGGCCCCCGGGAGGGTCCCAGGTGTCCTCACCCGAGGTCTCCACTGAGGTGGAGGTTATTAGCTCTGTGTGTGTGAAAAATGAGGGAGGGATTACATTTTCGAAATACTGAATGAGGCTTTTTCAATCGGTGAAATATGTCGCAATATTCTTACTTTTTGGGACCTATATTATACAGTTCTGTCTTAATGCGTAGCTGTGCACAGTTGTCCTAGCCTTGTCAAGCTGAGGCGTTGTGCCACAAACATAGAAATAGATTCTATTCTTGCGATGTGGGAATTTGTAAACCTAGCCTAAGTCACATGTTGAAAATGGCAGGCGAGATTTAATGGTGATACTTTGTAAAACTGTGGTGTCTGGACGATGAACGTATGGTGTACCTGATGGGAGAGAGTTTGCAGCTGCCTTGAAGTCACCAAAGATGTAGTAACACTGTTCTGAGAACGTGATCTTGTTGACCGTGTGACGAATGAAGCCATGCTGAAGAGGGAAGGGGGGAGAGGAAAGATGGCCAAAACAAAAGTAACATTATAATGGTAGCCGACCATGCGTGTAAGCTTATCAAGGTTACTTGACATATCTCTAAATCTATCGGATTACATACTGAGACATTCTGCGCACTTAAAACCATACAAAATGTATTCCAATAGTGGTACGCCACGTACCGTTATCATTAGAGTGAGCCCCTCCATATGTATGTATGTATGTATGTCTGACGTATATAGTATTGTACTTGTGGTCGCTTTTAGGGTCTGGGTAATTAATTGCGCAATCTGATTGGCCCGTGGCGCGGACTGCTATGCGAGTAGTGCAAATTTCCGACTCTAATATAACTTTCTCCGGACTCTCAATTTGGCGCATGCTCTCACGTTACGCTTGGCGGAGTCCCCGACCGGTGCTGCCGAAGGTGTATAGAGTCAGAGCCGCGTTGTCGAGTTCTCCCTGGGCTCTCGCTGACTTCCCAGCGAGAAAGCAGCGCTCAGTTCGCATAAGTTTCAGAGCTGCACGAATTGAAACAAAATTGCGCGCATCAGTGTTGCATAGCTCTAACAAGTTAGACGCCTCATCGCATGGAAACTACGCGCATTAGAGCGCCTGGGGGGCTCTAGTAGCGTCGCCCTCGCTGCTGCTCGAACGCCGACAGCCGGGGCCTGCCCCGCGGCTCTCTAATGCGCGTAGTTTCCTGGACTCGGCATCTAACGTTAGATGTAGCATCAGGTCGTTAATCTGCACTAGGTATTTTATACAGACGTACGTATTATAATAGTGTTTGATTGTACTTGAGCATCAAGCGGGTACTTCCTCGAATGTCTCTGTCGATGAAGGCCGTCCACGTTTTGTATGGGGCAAACATCAACAAGGTCGTGGATCGCCTGTGTAAATCAGCAGTAATTATTCGCTGACACACACACATACGGTTCAGTTTCGATATACTTACGTGGTGGTGGGGCGTACGTAACGGCTTCATGGGGAGATATGCCTAATGTTGCGTGGATAGGGGATATCAGTCCCTTGTAGATGATCCTAATTAAAGCACACCTACATACTTTGGAGGTCGGTCTCCTAAAATCGTGCGTTGCTACCGAGTTGCTGAATGTCACTGTCAATTAGCCGCTCCACAGAGAGACGTGTGAGTGATGCCGAGAAGCGAGCACCAAGCACTGTATATGGCTAGCGTCACACATTTGCCACTGTGTGCCAGTGGCCATGCGCATCGCGCGGATGAGATTCATTTTCATGTCCGCGTGCATTGTCGTGCGACACACGATGGGGCAATATGTAGTACGAACCCGAGCTATAGTGCGGACAGCATAACCTTCCAATGACATTTTGCAATGGTGGTAAAGTTACATTTTTTGTAGTGAAAAATCAACTATGGACGCTTATGCTGTCACGCACTATATAACTAACCAGATGAATACTGTGGTATGGTCATCTTGAGCACACCGTCTCACACCTCCAGCCCAGATGTGGTTACACACATTTGGCGATGCGGTACATCGGAGTGGTGATCGTGAGTCTCGTCAGCCTCACGTTCCATTCCCGGTACGGACTTGTCCCCTGGGGAGGAGTTTGAGGTCATGGTACCTGAGAGTCCGGCTCCGTGACGTCGACGACCGTAGGAATAGCTCTGGTCCGTGGAGCATGAGAGAAATGTTTTTAGCGTTTTCCCAAGTTCACTTCACGACAAGATGATTCACGATGATAAGTGAGCGTGTACGCATATCCCTGCACAGCCTCCTCTCACCTCTTTCTAATTCTAATCATTTCTTCTTTCTTCTTGTGAAAGGGTGAGCTATTTATGGGCATGGCACAGCCCTCCTACTCTTCTTTCTAATGTCATTTTCTTGTCTTCTTGTATGAAAAGTGTGTCAGAAAGCTCTTTATGCATGCAGCAGGTCTGTTGAATATATGTTAGAAGCCTTAAGGTCCCTTTTGATAACACAATGCTACATACAGTCCAATGGTCTTAAACAGAAATCTTTAATATGTCTCTAACTACTACGACAGAGGGATGAGACAATCACAGACAAAAGAGAGGCAGAATGAGGGACAGACCTTCCAATCTGATTGTCTGCTGACCAGCAGCGTGACGGATCAATCGGCCGAATCGCTCCACTGGAACACAAAAACAGCAATAATCATCAAAGTCTTCACACTCTTACCAAGCTAGACAGTGCTACATGCTTGCTCGTGCATGTGAGGCATACAACTTACACCCGCCATGCAACATGATCTTTACACGAAACAATCTACAGGAGTCCTTCTCTACCTTCTTGCTGTGCATGCGAGGCATCCAACTTACGCGACATGCACACATGATCTTACACAATCTACGGGATCATATCTCTACATGGACCAGTGTAGTGGAGACGTACTCATCTCGCTCAAGTGCGGTAGCGACTGCCCTCCGCTCCAGCACTTGCTCAGCGGTGAGAGTGATGGGACGCTGGCTGCTGGATCTATCTCCCTCAGTGCCTTGACTGCGTCGTCGTTACTCATGTTCTCAAATGATTCTCGTTCACCTGTAGAGCAAGAGATAAGAGTTACATGTACTATATAGTAATGTTTGTGTTCGAGATCTTCTCACAGGTGGGGAGAAGGGGTAAAGGGGGACGTAAGGGAAGGTGGGAGTGTGAAGTATGTAATCAACTGCAGAGTATTCCTCTCCAAAAATGTTTGCACGCTCAAAAAACTTGAAAATTGCAACCCCCCGGTTTCCCATTAGACCACACCCACTATCCACACCCACCTCCAGCAGCATGTCTCCGGCTCCAATCCTCCCGTCAGTCGCTACTGCTCCTCTGAAACAGACAGACAGAGATAAAAGGAAAATGGAGTCCATTTTAGTAATACAAAAAACTGTTTTTGTGACGATCTGTCCTAGGTGTGTCTTCGTAGTATTATATGAGAGTGATAAACCCCCCACCCTGAAAATAGTCTTGTTGCCCCCTCTTCCCTCCTGTCTTCAAAATCTCTGTGTCTCACCCTTTCATGACGGATCCAACGAAGATGCCACCGCACCATCGTCACTTGTCTGACCCACTGATACTTATCCCCAGGAATTAACTGTGTCTGCAGGGAGGGAGAGAGAAATAAAGACAGGAGAAGGAAGGAAGAGAGAAAGAGAGGAGAGGACAGGAGAGGGGGAGAGAAAGAAAGAGACGGAGATGACGGAAGGGGAGAGAGAAGGGGAAGAGAGGCGAGGAAGGAAGGAGGGAGGAGATCGTTCCGTCCCTTCTTTATCTCTCTCGCCCTGCCGCGATTCTGAGCGACGGGTGATCCTTCACTTATCTTTTTTATGAGGAGAGAGACATCTGCATCCAACACAACGGACCGTAGTTTGCCGTAAGACTCTCGCATACAATAAGGCAACGCTGTTGAAGGCATCACAAGGATGCCTTGGCGCTATAATCATACCTCATCACAACATACAATACGCACATTGGCACAAGGCGCTCGCTAAATATGACCTTGTAGCATCAAATTTTGGCACACGCCACGCATCCTTAAATCAATCCCCACGCATCATTCACTACATACTGATCACATACAGTTACCACCGTGATCTAAACCAAGTGTTCCTTTATAGAAAGTGTTCTTTATTTGGAGCGTCTTTTCCACACACATGTTTAAGTCATAATTGACTAAAGTCAAGGTAATAATGCAATGGACACGTCTTGACTACATTGACACCTGCCAGAATGCTAACACTGCTCGCTGCTCTGTAAAAATTCCAGTATGCGTGGTCAAGCTTTCGTGGTAATAGTGCACAAATACCTTTGAAGTACCGTTGTTTTGTGTAGAGTGTGCTCTAAATGAAGCTGGAGAGTGTGCTTTAAAATGGAAGTTGAATGGGTGCTCTAAATGGAAGTCTGGAGAGTGTGCTCTAAATGGAAGTTGAATAGTGTGCTCTAAACGGAAGCTGGAGAGTGTGCTCTAAATGGAAGCTGGGAGAGTGTGCTCTAAATTAAGTTGAAATCGTGTGCTCTAAACGAACTGGGAGTGTGCTCTAAATGAAGCTGGAGAGTGTGCTTTAAATAAGTTGAATGGTGTGCCTAATGAGCTGGAGAGTGTGATTAAATGAGTAATGGGTGCTCTAAATGGAAGCTGGAGAGTGGTGCTCTAAATGGAGTTGAATAGTGTGCTCTAAACTGAAGCTGGAGTGTGCTCTAAATGGAATTGAAATAGTGTGCGTCTAACGGAAGCTGAGAGTGTGCTCTAAATGGAGTATTGGTAGCTTACCCATGTTGAGTGTGACCTGTACAATCTGCATTGATGCATTACTGACACTTGTAGCCGTCATTGTGCTCATTGCATCCTGAGATGAGGGGTAAGAGAGAAAGCAGAGAGTGAATGAGGGAGGAAAAGGGAAAGATGAACGAGAAGTAGTGTGAAGTCGATATGCAGTACCATCTAAATCGTAGTGATAGAAGGCAACCGAATAAAGTCAACTCACCCTTTTCGGCGCCTGTGTTGGTCAAAATTTTTCTTCTCGGCTGAGCGAAGTGAGCGTGCTGGCACTCACTCGACTACAAAGAAGGGGAAACACACACCAGTATCACATTTTGTGCAAATGTGTGTTTTACAGTTAGAATTGCTGTTCTCATGTCATTTGGAGGCAACGTTTAACATTATGGTCAGTATTTAAACTACTTGTCGGCCATTGCACATTCGCAGTACCATTAATGCATGCAGTGAGGATTGCTTTTTTGACGGGTGCAGTTATATTATACTAGCTTACTTCACATATGAATCCTGACAGTATACAGTAAGTTCAATATGTACCTGACAGTATACAGTAAGTTCATATGTAGACCGTGACTAGTCAATACAGTAAGTTCAATATGTACCTGTCAGTATACATAGTCATATGTACCTGGCAGTATACAGTAGTTTCAATATGTACCACCTGATCAGTATACAGTAAGTTCAATATGTACCTGACAGTATACAGTAAGTTCAATATGTACCTGACAGTATACAGTAAGTTCATATGTACCTGACAGTATACAGTAAGTTCCATATGTACCTGACAGTATCAGAAGTGTCAGCCACACTCTCCAAGTCAGTTGTTGTGTAAGAGGCACTGGTGAACTCTGTCTGACTGTCAAAGTCAGTCCCCCGACATGGCCGACTCGTCGCCAGCGGTGTACCTTGCACACGATGTCGTCGCCGTTGTCGCGGGTGTCCGTGGGAACGGTGGTGGTGTCTGTGCGGCTTGTTATCGCCGTGACGACCGGGACACTGCAGACAGGCAGTGCATCATCATTAACACCTATCATTACATCATTTTACATCATCACTTAATCGTCAAACACCAATACATCAATTTCAATTGCTATACAAACCTCATAATATCGAAAACTAATTACCCTACTGTTTATCAAATAACCATTACATCATTATTACTCATAATCATACTAACGAGACGTCATCTCCATCTCTTTCTTTCCTATAACAATAAGAAGTGATCTTTGTATGTGGCGAATTGTACATGTATACAATACATGTCTCACAACTTGGTAACGAGGTAGAAAGGCAGCAGGCAAACAAGTCAACTAACACCCAGGACAGCTCTTTCTTTTCCCAAGAAAAGAGAAGAGCTGGCCCTGGGTGGGGATTCGAACCCACGCACTCTGCAGTATAGGCGAGCGCTCTAAACCAACTGAGCTAGCCATTGGCAACTCAGCTGGTAGGGGTTCGATCTACAACACCACACACCACAAACGGAAAGGCACTGTACATGTAAAGCATGTAAAAGCAGCTATAACCGGTACATGTAGCATAAGTACACACATATCTCTACTTTGGGTATGACATCATCTGTGAAGTCTCATGCAACTTGCAAATGTAGGGTTATATAGGCCATGCACAAAGTTGCGTAGTGCATGAGTAAAGAAATGAGGGACTGACGTGGAAGCGAGTTTCGCTTTGGCAGCCTCCGTATCGGAACCTGACTGACTGCCTTGCTCTCCATGTTATCCACCTGTGGTGTGACGATGGAGAAGTGTATGTATGTACATATAACCAGTTTCAGAATCCAGTCACACAGAACGGCACGGGTTTTAGATAGCCGTGTGGAAGAGAGGTAGACGAGGGAGAATGCATCCACGTCACAGACAGAGTAAAAACCGGTTTGAGAAATGGGAAGAGGGAAAGGAAGGAGAGAGGAGAGGCAAGGAAGAGGTGCACAAACCCACCAGCAAACGACTCTGCCATTGACGTTTGGTAGAGACATGTCATCGCTATGGCAATCTCTTCTTGACTGTTCTAGAGAGAGAGTAGAGAAGAGAAGTGATAAAGACAATACGATAAAGTGGGAACTAGACGGACGAAATGTTGAAGAGAGCCATGTATACATACACATATGGCTTTAACGCACCACTACAGTACACAATACACCTATATACAAGTACAAACCACACAGTTGTACACACACCATACATACTGTACATGTGCACCAAATAAGCAGTGCCCTCAGCTCCACAACACACACCGGTAGGCAAGATAGAGGCCTCAGGATCTGGCTGTGACTACTACACACCACCAGCAAAGGATACGACTTTCTCTTTGATGTCTTGAAGTGGCCTAGCGCCAGGCAAAACTCACACACTATGTAGCACACTCAGTGAAATCCTGGCATTTTATGGTGTGCACAGCGGAAAGGTGTTCAGTTTATATTGTATATATGGGCAGTGGCCTAGGTAGTGAGTAATACATAGCGACTTGGATTGGTAAGAAATTGGCTCTCTCTAGACTGCGTAAAAACAGCTAGTAACAGCTAAAGTTATAAACTAATCCAGCGGCGCCGTTTGAAAGGGATTAATGCCAGGGGTTAAAGGGTTTTAATAATTCAACATGATAGTAGTACACCTCACAGATATTGAGCATACTATGAAGTACAGTGGAACCCCCTTCACCAAGACACCCCTGAAATAGGACACCAGTCTAAAGAGGCACAAAGCCATTTCTTCCCGCAAAACAGTCTATCTGAAATGAGGATCCCTCACTAACGTGGACAGTTTCACTCTGTCATTGATGTCTGGATTAGAGAGGTTCCACTGTATATATGCTCAAAGACACCTCACTTATAGGGACAGCTTTCTTCTGTTCATTGTATCCAGATAGAGAGGTCCACTGATATATGCTCAGGACACTCATCACTCATTCGGCGGACACTTTCATTTCTTCCGTACCATCTCTGGTGTCTGGATTAGCGCGAGGGTTGCACTCTGTGGCACGGTTCGTATAGGCACTATAGGTCTGTGTGGGAGCAATCATGTGTCATGTGGTTTGGCGAGACCTCTTGGGGTAGACAAAGTGGGTCACGAGCTAGTGGCCACCTTACAAACTCGTGGAATTGAGGCAGCTAACTCACTCAGCATCACCACCTGCCACACACATGTGTGTGTTCAGCTAAATATCTCTCCCGAAGCTTTGTAGCAACATACAGATAACGCCATAGCGAGTTCATCTGGCTACGTGCACTGTGTGATAATTCTTAGTACGTACGTAATCAGTCGTGCCTGAAAAACGTATTTGACCTACCCCACACTTAACCCACTACCCCAGACTAAACCCTACCACCAACACACCACCCACCCCAAAACCCTACAAACCCACCACACCACCACTACCAACCCACCCTAAATCTTGTGATCTTGTGTCAAGTGGCTGGTGCGGCACCGTTTTTCCTCCGCCGCATCGCAACATGCACACATGTCAGCTATGTGTCATCATATTAGAGTTCATATCCTGTACTACCCTGAGTTAGCAGCTTGTCGGTAATATCTGAAGTGCCACGTTTTGAAACACTTAGCCAGCCACCTGACACATAAATGTGTCCAGAGACTCCATATAGTTCATAATATTATATGGGGTTATAATACTAGGCGCTCTAATACTTTATACATCAAATATGCTTATTTAAGCACATCCGCGGCATGGCGTCCAAGTAAGGTTCCACTCTTACCGTGAGTAGCTCGTTCGTAAGTATGATAAACAAGATTGGCCATTATTCGATACAGATGCCACGTTTGTAACTGAGTGACCGCACATCAAAGGAACGGCCAGCCCTTTCATGTCTCTCCATATACGTGGCCTTTTCCACCAGTCGCCAGCTAGTAAATTGTGTGTACATCACACATCCAATGACACATCTGTGGACTAGAGTCAGTAGTCTAGAGTGTGCGCCTTGCATCCTAAGATTTCCAGTAAGTGTGTGGCCGTTGCATCCTGACTTTGAGAAGGATTGGTGAGGTGTGTTATGCCAGTTATGTCCTGACTTTGAAGGGGATTGAGAGGTAGTTACCATCGTGGGAAGTGGAACTGTGTATATTCTGTCTGCCTTGCGAGTGACGTTCATCTTCGTACAGTATGAACATATACACACACACCACGTACCAGCGGATTGATAAAATCCATCGCTAAGCCTCTAGCATCGTTGAAGAGAAAGTATAGAGTCGAACTGTTCGTTTTTTGTCTGGAATTATTATATGCAGCCTTCTTATCATGTTAAATCTATATGCGACTTCGTAGGAACTTTACCATAATATACACATCGAC